AATGGAGGGGCTAACAATGTTCAAGAGGAAGTGTACTCATTACCTCACTCATGTAACTGTAACCCAATAAAAAAAAAAAATAAAAATAAAATAAAATAAAATAGAAACTGAGCCTGGTAGTTTATGTCTGATAATCCCAGCCGACTCTCAAGTGCCTAGTGATCACAAGACCCTAGTTCAGTCCCCAGTACAATAATAATAATAATAAATAGAAACTCAAATTCACAGGTATGTAGATAAAGCTACAAAGTCTTCCACACTTATATGGTATATTTAGTACCTACCTGAATACCAGACCACATCCTTTGTCTTCCATCAAAATGCTTGTCCCTGAAGATATCCTGGATAGATGAGGAACCCTTCTTCAGTATCATCTACTGAGTACTGGTTAAGTTATTCCAAACATTGGGCAGAGACAGCAGCCCCCATGTCCTGAAAATAGGTTGTGTAAACTCTCCTTGTCATGTTGGTCCATCTTTTGGCCTATTGGAGAATCCACACCCAAACACCTCCTGAGCCACGTGCTGTATCTCTAATCCTGTGCCTTCTCCCTACTCTCAGGACCAGAAGCTGGAGCGTAGGCCCAGAGACCCAGGAGATGGAGGGATGTTCAGTCTTTACAGCCTCTTCCATCCCTAGAACCCCACAGATCCAGAACCTTCCTCCACAGGGCAGGGAAGTTGGGGTGCATTAGCAGAACAGGATGGAGATAAGGTTCCCCTGGGTGAATTTTTCCCTGTATGAAATCCAGAGGGAATGGAGGGCCTCCATTACTGAGCAGCAAGACCCCATGGCATGACTTGGCCTCATTAGCAGGTGGCTCTCAGGGTGGACACTGTCCCAGATCCATGACATCCTGCTCGGCTACCACCTGGCGCCTCTATTCCTTCCAGGCAGCTTAGACAGTGACGCCTTCTGGAGTGTTGGCCTGAGAGGTGCCGTCGCTCCAGGCTCTGCCACAGAGCTGACCTCCACCAGTGACTCAATGCCAACCAGCCAGGGACATCGATAAAACCCATTAGAAGTGATAGCACACTCTCACATGCATGCCTTCCTCCCCTCCTTCTCCCAGATGACCTTGCTGTAATTAAAGTGGGGATTGACGTTCTCACTTATTTCCTGTTCCCTGCCTGTGTTTATCAGGAACCTCAGGCATGACAGATTGGCTCATTCACATCCTGAGCAGTCTATGCTACACAAGAACAGAGCGCAAAGTCAGTGAGCTCCTTCCTCCTCCTCTCCATCCTTCTCTTTCCCTCTGCAGAAGAGAACATGTCATAGGCCTACATGACATTCTGGTCCCTAGAGACTTTGACACCTACTCTTGAGGACCAGGCTGGGCTGTGGTGGCATTTATCCCAGCTGCTGTATGTCATTTCCCCAAGTGAAGTTGGAGCTGTGATTCAGGGTCAGGCAGTGAGGCCTTGATGAATTCTAACCTGTGGGTCCACAGCAAAGCAATCCTCTCTCCCTTCTCTCCCTTTTCAAATATGACTCTGGCTTTCCACAGTGAGCAAGTCTCAGACCAGTAAAGAAAGCCTTTCTAATCTGAGCACAATGTCCACTAACATAGGAGATCAGAACACAATGCTCAATTGCAAAACCATGTTTTGAGATGAAAGAATGACCTTTGATCCCAGCACCTTGTCTTAATTTTCATTTCACATGCCAGCTTCTAGCCAGTGCATGGCAGCCATAGGGCATATCAACGGCTCAGTGGTCATCTTCCTCTAGCTTTTTTCCCTTCACAGCTAATATTTCTAATTGTCTTAGACCACATATATTCCTCGCAGCTGCTAATTTGTGATTTCCTTCATATCCAAAGGATAGAGAGATATTTAGTCACTCATCATTTTCTTGTGAGTAATAATATATACCTTTTGGGTTGTTTTAGGATTTCGTTTTAGGAATAATGGCAGGAGTGGGATCCTTGGTTCTTGTTATACATTGCTTTATTGCTTTAAAAAAAAACAAAAGGATTATATCTATGTATTGTGCTACAAGTAAGACCATGACCATTTTAATTATAAATTAAAAGACCCAAGGGATAGGGCTGTGGAAACAAATGCCAGATTTAAGGTGGAAGTGTGTGTGTGTGTGTGTGTGTGTGTGTGTGTGTGTGTGTGTGTTTCTTTAGTATGTAGTCTCTTCACATAAGCCTGAGTTGAAGCCTAAGGATGAAAATGAATAAGACAAAGAAATGAGAAGAGGAATTTTTGCATAAGAGCTCCCATTCTGCAACTCTTTAGTCTTTTCTTTGAGGGTCTCTGTTTCTGGTGGAGTGAGTGCTGGGGTGAAGACACTCGGCTCTTCCTGTCCAGATCAGGAGCACCAGGGTGCTGAGCTCTGCTTCTCACTCTGATGTGTCAGCGGCTCAACTCAGCTGTCTACTCTGGCTGAGACTGCAGACCCTATATTGGTACACTGCATATAATTGGAGCAACATTTTAACATGCAGATTAGAGATGACCTTGAGTGCCTCAGCCAGAGTTGTTTACCTGCGATGAATGTGGTGTTTTCTTTAATCTCTCCTAGGAGGTGCTTGAACTTGCTTTCTCTGTCTTGTATGACTCCAACTGCCAACTGAACTTCATTGCTCCTGACAAGCATGAGGTAAGGGTCTCAAAGGGGGATAACTTGTAAAAGAATATTACTTGAGCTTTAGAAAAATAACAACAAGCAAAAGGAAGAAATTATATTTTTTTAAATCCTGAGGAACGCATGAAGCAAGGTGTTGACCTCCACCACCTTGGAAACTCTGGAAAACTGGTAGATCCTTAAGTCCAGCTTCTGGCTAGATTGCTAGTTCCTGGGTGTTAGTCATCTTTCAACTGTGACAAGGAAAAAACACACAAGGCAATTGCTTTAGAAGAAGGAAAAGTTTGTTTTGGCTGACAATTCCAGTGGTTTCCATGTATAATAGGCACTTGGTCCCATGTGCCTTTGGATTTGTAGCAAGCCAGTCATGGTGGGAGTAGGTAAAGGAGGAAGCTGCCCACCTCATGGGAGCCAGGAAGCAGAGGAGAGGGAGTCAGAAAGAAGGGATCATCATTCTAATCCCAATCCTCTTCAAGACCACACCCTCCAGTGCCCTAACTTCCTTTTACTGGGCTCCAACCCCTAAAGATTTTACCACCCCTCACTAGCACAGCAGACTGACTAGCAGCCTTTAACACCCATCTCTCTCTGGTGGGTATTCAGGGTCCAAACTAAGAAAATAGATGCCAAAAGCTTCCAATTCTGCAAAGGCATTACTGTACACCAAGAGCAAGAGGTTGCCTGGTGTACAGGTTTGGTTTTCCCTGAATTGTTTGTCTTTGTTCTAAATTTTCCCAAGATAAGCTAGACTCTATTCTTTAAAACACTGATGAAGTAGATTCTCTACCAAGTTTCTTTAAGCTATTTTAAGAGATTTAGAGCTATCTCTGCTGTCAGAATTTTATTTCCAAGATGCTTTTATTCCTTTTTGACATCTTGTTATATGTATAATTTGTTTCTCTTCTTGAAACACACTGTCAGCTATATTTAAAATATTTAGCATAAATCTTGGAAAATGCATTTGTAAGATAATGGAGCAGTTATGGTTGATTTAACTTTTTCTCTTGTAAAGTAGAACCATACACCGTGCTAGAAACTTTTATTTTTAGATGATACCATTCAAATTTTTGTTTTGCATGTAACCGTATAAACAGCTTTTAGAAAGGAAGGGAGAATTTTAATAGAATCTGACTTTTGTTCTCCATTTCCCTGAGGAGATTCAGCTCATTTAGAAGGTATTTAGTATCTGGTTTCTACTGGTTTGAAGCTTTGGAATTAAATTGCACATCCCAAGGAAGGAGAAAAGATTAGCCACAAATCTTGCATTTAGAATGGTGCTTAAATATAATTCTGTGTCACTTGACATTTAGTTTTCAGAAGGGTAAGACTTTGTCTTCATCTTCCTGAAAATAGATTCTGTGTCCTACTATTTCTGTTTTTAAATAAAATTTTGATCATGCCCGGGCCAACATATTGAAGATATATAGAACAGTATAGAAAGCTACTTAGCACAGTAGAACGTGTACTGTTATTTAAATACGTACCAGGCTGTTTTCTCCTGTGTGAACATTAATCCCACGTAAGGACAAATGCTCAATGAGTGGCAGGTTTCTCTCTATTCATTTCTACCACTTCTTACAGATGCGCTGAGAAGAAAAATGTATGGATACTTTTAATTCCTCCAAAACACTTGTGTATCTATTACCTCCATTTATTTTTGTCATCATTTCACAAAATAGAAAGTTCTGTTATACATAATCCTTATTTATCAAAGGAAAAAGAGCGTCCAAGCTGAATACTTCAACAACAGAAAGGATAATACTAATTATAATTTCCCTGACCCAATTTGTACCAGGCTAGATAAGTAAGCAGACAGGTAGATAGGTAGAGCGAGGATGAAGGAAATAGGCTGATAGGTAGATCTATCCTTACTCAATCCTTCTAGAACCCTAAGACAAACAAACCAGTACTATCCCCATTTTGTAAAGAAGAAAAATGAGGTACAGAGATGTCTAGAGACTTCCCAAAGCCACTCAAGGAGTTTCTTGGATTTGAACCCTGGCAGTCTGGCTCAGAAAGCTCCTTGTCATAAGACACCAGGCAATGGCAGGACTTCAGGGCAGTTCACTCACTGGAGTTCAGCACTGACCAGGTCTGACTCTGTCTGGATTCATCTGCACCTCCATCACCTCTCATTCTCCCATTCCCAGCTGTCACCCCTAGGATGACTGTAAAGCAAGGTCAGTACATATCTCAATGGTAGACTTCATTTGGAAATATAATTCCAATGCTATTGTCTTACCTAAATTAATTCTTGGCGGTTTTAACCCCATCCAGCACAGTCCATTTTCACATTTCTCTAATTGTCTAATTTATGTGTTTTTCCTTGTACATTTTGTTCAAAATAACATGTCTAGAGATGTTGTATTTGGTTGGCCCGCTTTTCACGTTTCTCTAAGTTCCTCTCTTTCTCACACAATCATTTACATAATGGTCTTTTTTTTCCCCCTTGTCTGGCATTTTTTGAAGGAATCAGGTCATTACTCCTATAGCATTGTGGATGGTCTAGACAGTGCTGATTGTCAACTCTGTCTTTGTTTACTGCTGCTATTGCAGCAACCTAGCACAAACTCGGCTTGAAGCTTAACAATACAAATTCATCATCTTAGAATTCTAGAGGTCAAAAATCTGACACTGGTCTCCCTGAGCAAATACCAAGATGGCAGCAGATTACATTTATTTCTTGAGGTACCAGGGGGAATCTGTATCCTTGCCTTGTGTATCTCTAGGGTCTGTCAGAATCCTTCCCTGTCCTTGGCCTCCATCAGTCTCAGTGATGGAAGATTGAGCCCTCTCATCCATCACTCTAACCTCCTCCATTATGGTCTAAGCTCCCCTGCCTTGCACTTCACTGACTCCTCTCTTGTTTGCACTTTTTTGTTGTTGGTGGTGGTTGTGGGTTTTGAACTCTGGGCCTGGGCGCTGTCCCTCAGCTCTTCAGCTCAAGACTAGCACTCTACCACTTGAGCCGCAGCACCATTTCCAGTTTTCTTGTGGTTTATTGGAGATAAGAGTCTCATGGACTTTCCTGCCTGGGCTGGCTTTGAACCGTGATCCTCAGATCTCAGCCTTCTGGGTAGCTAGGATTACAGGTGTGAGCCACCTGTGCCCAGCTTCTTGTTTGCACTTTTAAGGACCCTTGGGATTGCATTGGACCCAAGTGGGAAATACAAAAGAGTGACTTGATGGTTTGTTTGTGGTTTGGGCTGTAATAGAGATTGAACTCAGATCTTGTGCTCTATCTGTTCTCCTGGTAGACAGGTGATCTACCACTGGAGCCACTCCTCTGACAACTTTTTGCAGGCAGTCCTGGACTGCAATCACTGGGGCTAACAGGCATGTGACACATAGCCGAAGATCTTCTCAAACCTCAGGGAGTAGGGTGTGGACATCTTTGAAAGGCAGATATTTTTCTGTCCACCCCAACTGGCAACATTATTTTGTATCTCCATCTGTTCCCAGTATTTCCTATAGACGAGTAGTCAGAAAACTGACTAGATGCAAAGTCACTTTTTAAGCAACAGAAATAGCAGTTTCTAGATTGCCTTCTTGGCCCTCTTCTTTAAATGTTAGGAGCCTCATGTGATCATTGCTTTGATCCTTAGATCCATTAGAGCAGGGGTGGCAAATGTCCAGCCTGGTGGCCATATAAAGCCTTCAAAATCATTTGGTATGTGATAGAATGGGCACATATGCTTCATATAGGTTGCCTACAGCCCTTTACCTGTGTGCATAACTTTGTGTAGGCAACACATGATGCTATAAATATCCAAATGGGCCTTAGCAGCAAAAAGTTATCCATCCTGTGAGGCTAAAAAAGGTTGACATTACCAATTCCATCTTTCCATTCTCATATATGAGTAAATAGAAAGGTCTTATAGACTATTTGATTGCATATATGAAATAGGCATTTCCGGTTTTCTAAATAATAAACATGTCTGAAGAAGGCCAGTGAGGCATGCATCTGACTTTGTGTATCATTATGAAGTTGTGGAGTTAAGTATATTTGTGTCCCTCTAGGCCACAGTTATTGCCATGGGTTCATGTCCAGGTCATCCTGCCTGGGACACTACTTCCCCCTCCAGATGGCTTTTGAGGCCTAATGACATGACCTCTACATTTTTGGTAGCTTCCTGTCACTTTACTGTAAAGTGACAGGATACTCCATGTTCATCTTGACTGTTCTCTCATCTTTTCTCTGTGGAACCCGGTTACTTTTAATGAATAGGTGATGGTGGTTAGCAACTAGAATCAGAGGACGCCTTATGTTTATTACCACTGGGCCATTGTTTTGAGGCTTTGAGCAAAGGAGGTAACCAGAAAATGTGATTTTTTTGGAAGGTAAAATGTATCATAGGTTGGTACTGATAATTCCAATTCCAATTCAGTACTACAGGGTTGTTATTTGGAGATACAATTTTTAATGAAGTATTTTGTGCCTGCTGCTTCTCAAAAGGAATGTTCCTGTGGGTTAATTAATCTGCACCAAGAAACTGGCCAGGGCTCAGAAGGCTGTGTATCTAAGGCAGTAACCCTAGGATTCAGAGATTACCATAAAATAGTGATAGCGCTGGGAGGGACGTACCAGAGCTCATCCATGAGTGTTCATAAGAATAATCTGGGAAGCTTTTATAAATAAAGCTCCCTTATCCCACATTGACAGAATAAGGATCTCTAGTATAAGAACTAGGTATCTATTTCTAACAAGGTTATTTGTGAGAAAACAGATGGTTAGACACGATCAGAATCTGGCTCAGATACTCATGAGGACACTGATGCTTGGAGAAATTCCTTAGCACCAAACCTATGTTTCGATGGGTTGGATACCTTGGCTGAGATCCCTTTGCCATTGTAGAATCAAAGCCATCAAGTTCAACATTGCCCTCCCTCAGACATGAGTCTTCAGATATTCCTTGGTACACCTCTTCACTTAAAGGCAATGGCATTGACATGCCTCCTGGAAGCTTTCCATCATGCATGACACAAGCGTTATATAATTTCATAATTCTTCCATAATTTTTCATAATTTATAAGATTTCAGTGAATGCAAAAATGACATCTGCTGTCATATTCTGGGACAGAGCCCAGGTAGCTACAATGCAATGCTAAATAAGACCTGGAATTGCACCTACAATGACTATGAGAAGACCAAATTAGCAGGGGGCAAGATAGTCATAGGGTCTTTTAAAGGACCAGGGACAACCTAGTGAGAGAATAAGTAAGCACAGCACTCAGAACATGGGCAGTTTCCTGAGATGCCAGCAGCAAGGGGCTAGCTCTGTCCCCGAGTGTCATCATTCTCTTTTCAGTCAAAGCAGGATCCCAGCCCGTAGGAGGGAAGCTGACAAGAACAAGGCAGGTCCTTGGATCAATGAAGCACAATTCCTTCTCCTTAGGAGCTCATAGTCTACCAGAGAGGCAAAAGGCTATGATCAATCTTAGGAGAAAAGACCAAACCCTTCGTTTGTGGACTCTAGAGGATTTTCCAAATTGGTCAGGTCCGAGAAAACTGCGGGGGGAGAAACCCTGGGCACCAGAGACCACCCTAGTGGAAGAAGTTTCCAGGAAAAGAGCCAACCCTCCCTCTGTTAAGATCAACCAATAGTGTTGGCCATTTGGTTTCCAGATGTTGGGTAAGTGAAGGTTTTTGGTTTAAAAAAAAACCCACAAAGTAAGGGCAGAGCTTGTCCACTGTCTCTGCGTGCTAGAAATCAAATCAGGCAGGCACACATCAGCCAGAAGACAGTGAACTGTTATAGTCATCAGAAAGAGGGCAGGGTTGGTCTGGCCTTGAGTCCAGGAGTATGTATATCAATGGCTTAAAGCCAGGGGCTCACCTGAGGTTATGGAAATATTAACATGCACAATCGCGAAGAACCCAAATCCTCCAGAATTAGGTTGTTTGAGTTCAAATCTCCCTACGCTCACTTCTCATGCCTTGGCTCTCTATAGTTTGTCAAAGAGAGATGATAACAGAAGTGTTGATGTTAGAGAGAGGCTGTGCATGTAAATGATAATGTAGGCAAAGCACACAGAGAACATTCACTTACTGTTCAACTAGCCGTGTCATGGTCACGAGTAATGGTCTCTGTTGCCCTTTTTCCTGCCCAGTATTGCATCTGGACAGATGGGCTGAATGCACTGCTTGGGAAAGACATGATGAGCGAGCTGACGCGGAATGACCTAGACACCCTGCTCAGCATGGAGATCAAGCTCCGCCTGCTCGACCTGGAAAACATCCAGATCCCCGACGCGCCTCCTCCCATCCCCAAGGAGCCCAGCAACTATGACTTCGTCTACGACTGTAACTGAAGTGGCCGGGACCGACATGCACCTCCAGGCTGGAAGTCTGGAAGTTTAGCAGGAGAGAAGAAGGAAACACGCCCATCCCTTGGCATCACATTTCAGTAGAGAGAAGCTGCAGATCCACTCTTCCTTTGGCCTCAACTCTAGCTCAAGCTTTTCCAACTCTTCTTGGTACCGTGTCCACTCTTAGAATCTGTTTTCAGACTCACTGCTTTAAGTTCTGGTTCACTACAGTTCACTGGTGGGACAGAGTTAACAACCACCACTCATAAGAAAGCCAAGGGGCCTTTCATCCTCACCTGTGGCAGGCATGACCCTCCTTGCTGAGTAAGAAAACAGTTAGTTAAAGCTGCCCCAGAACTTGCCCACCAAACCAAGGCCTGTCTCTAGAAGAAATAGCCCAGCTATCTGATCAGAAGACTAAATGCCCCATCTTCCTCCCCCCTCTTTCTAGGGTCAGCGCAATACCACCAGTTCTATTTAAGTTGAGATCTGCTTTTAGATCTCCTCCTTCCCTCCCTCTCCCCTGCCTTGGCCTTGCCCTGGTCCTCTCTGGTCTCAAGAACAGTGACCATAACCTCATCATAGTCTTGGCCAGCATCGAGCCTCCCAAACAGGAGCCCATGCCTGCACCATGTCTGCACTGTGACCTCACCCTACTCCCTCCATGCTAGCTAGTCTTGGGCTTCCTCTCCCTGCCCCAGCCCAGACCTGCCTTCATCTCCACACGCGCTACCAGCCTCTTAGCACAAAGCACAACTGAAATCAGTAGTCACGCTTCATCTCTAATAGACTAAACCTAAATGCCTCTGTGCCAGGCAGTTGCTACCCAAGGGTTTGGTGTCACCTTGCTCCTGTTGCAACCCAGGTTCCATGGGATGGTCAAGCCGTCAGACATCCAAGTTTACATCGTTGTAATTATTATAGGTATTTACAGTTTGCAAGGGTTTGGGGTTATTTTTTCTTTTGCTTTTTTTTTTTTTGTACAAAAGAGTCTAACATTTTTTTGCCGAACAGATATATATTTAATGAAAAGAAGAGATACATAAATGTGTGTACTTTCCAGGGTTTTTTTTAATTATTTTAATCCCAAACATCTTTCTGAAAATAACATTCCCTTAAACATGCTGTGGAATAAAGTTAACTGTGATGAGTTGCTGAGCTGGTGTTTTGATTTGGTCACTTAGGTGTTAGCTGCTCTGTCTTTAGCATCGCTTGTGAACTTGTTCAAAAATGCCGAATCTAAGAGCCTACCCCACCCTTCTGAATTGGGAAGTGTGTGTGCATGTTGGTTTGGGGTACACTGTTCTAGAAGACTCTTAGCCTTTGAGAGGTCATGTCAGCAAAGAGACGCAGTGAAGTCCACTTCTTAGAAGACTATCTGAACTCATGGAGATGAATCTTGGGGTTAAAAATATGATCTATTCATTTCACTTGCTGCCCCTGGGTCATAACTTTTTTTGATTGTATCTTTCTTCCTACCATTACAAATCTTATAGAAGTGGTCCAGTTACATCTCAACTTGGAGATGTGTATTTAATAATGGGGAAAAATGTGATCCCATGGACCTGGAAATAACGAAGCCAAAACTAAATAAATCCAACTGTGATTTAATGTATTATAGGTCAGAGCCCATCAAAGGCTTTCTCTTGAGAGCCATCATTTAGATCAGAAACTCTTAAGAGCTAGAGAGGAGGATAGAAGGCACCAAATACACAGAGCTCCATGTTGCCCCACCAAGCGTTGTGAACTCCCAATGCAGCTTATAGATGCATGCCGATGTCTACTCTTTCCTGCCGGGATAATGTGCAGTTAGATTGACCTGAGTTGAGATGGCATGGTCCAGGGTACTCCATCAATTGCAGGAGAAAACCCTTTATAAACCATAGTCACTCTGAAGGGGTCATTCTTCCCACCTGAGCCCTCACACCTGGTATTAAAGTGACAACTCCATCATTAATCTTCAATGTTATTGATATGTGTCCTTCCTCTTGGGAACATCTATTGTTCTACATGCATCATGATAAAATGAAGAATCAAGCCAAGGAAAGCAAACAGTCTACCTTATATACCTGGGGTTTATAAAAGCCCATCTTTGAAAAGAAGAATCCCCTGGACCAGATATCTGGCTCTAGTTTTAAAGAATTCATCTGTCCTGGTACTTTGGCTGAGAAGAGCTAGCCCATCTCTTCTAGCTTTCTTATTTTGGTTCATTAAATAAAAACAGCATATCCAGGACTTTTTAATCTCTCATTTTCTTTTTAAGTGGATACATGGTAATTGCTTCATGCATGGGTAGTGATAAAGTCACCATGAGGTTGGAAGAACACAAGTTCCACACCAATCGGGACTGCATAGCAAGACCCTGTATCAAAAAGAAACACAAAAATGTGGGGTAAGGGAAAACAAGGATAGAAAATACAGGGAGGTCTTAAAAAGAGAGATGTTCACCCCCTGAGACACAAACTTTCCAGGTAAATCATGCTGGAGGCATGAAAACCTGCATCCACTAGGGAATCTGAGCCAATTGGTGGCTGGTGCAAAGGTTGCACCTGGGAAATGGAACTGTAGAAGGAGCTGCCAAGCATGAAAGACCTGGGTAGAGTTGGCAAGGGATTCCTAGTTGAAGACAAGAGCCACAGGAGAAGTGATGCCAAATTTGCCATTCAGAAATATCACCAAACAGCCACATGGGAGGAAAGGTTGGAGTGGGAGAAAATTGGAAGCATATATATTGGCAAAGAGATGATTAAAACAATCCCTAGCCAAAAAGGAAAATCATTGGGGCCCAGACTTCGCTATCAGGCATTTGGAATAGAGTGTGGAATTTTTGTATCACATCAGTCTCTAAAACATTTTAGATGTTGGCATTCAGTCTTCTTTTTAAAGGATGTTTCAACCTGTCTATGGGCTGTTTGAACACAGATGGAATGGATCACCCTTGTAAGGTACAAAAATATAAGTAAAAAGGCTATATTTTCAAAATTGAACAGAGAAACACAAAATACACCTAAGTCCAACATGCACATAAGTTAAATTCTTATCTCAGACTGACTGCAAAAGCAAAATATGGACCATGATGATTGTATGGTATGTGCCTACAACAAATGACTCAGAATAATTGAAAGCACAGGTGTAAGCAAAATATGCCAGCAAACACAAAGTCCAAGTGGAGTAGATTGGGAAGGGGCTGCAGAGAAAAGAAAATGCAGCAGGGAAAGCAAAACTGAAAACAAAAGGCATTTCATTAAAAATGTACATGAGGGTAAGTACAATCAAAGTGAAATTGGAGATGGAAATTGAGTTCTTTTATAGTGCTTATTTACATGGGTATAATTTCCCATGGCTATTGGGAACTGACTGATGAGAATAGCTACATGGAAAATGAAATTGTCCTGAAATAATATAAGCCATGTACAAGATAATTGCTGAGTGTCTTTCCTTATGCACAAACCTTAACTAATTTCTAAATTTTAACAAAATGATTAAATACATTCAATAGCTGTTGCTATGTGTGTAGTCTCTGAAGAGTCTGCATTCTTTATTTATCTTTGGAATATGTTTAGAGTTAATCATATAATTAACCACAAAGAAAATCTCTATATCCCAAGAGAGAAATAAGGTCTAAAGAATTTTTGGTTCCGTTGAAATATTGAAAATGTCCTCTCATGGTCTCTCTGGAGAAAAATTTTGCAATATATTTCAAAGTTTTAAAAATATGACTGTCTTATGAAATTCTATTCATCAAACAGAGCTACTTAATTGTGTTTTACCCGTTTACATGCTGAGCGTCCTGTGCACAAAAAGGATTCTGTGTTTAAAACAAAAGGCTAAAACCTCGGGCTAAGATAAACAATGAGACATCCATTTATATTCTGGCATACATGACCGACATTCCAAATCATATGAAAAAGCTCCCTAAAAGTAAAAACATAGATAGATAGATAGATAGATAGATAGATAGATAGATAGATAGATAGATAGATAGATAATCAAATAGCATGAGATATCTATGCATTTTGTATTATCTCCTAAGTAGATGTACAGAGGGATTTCAACATGTCAATCTGTAAGTACAGTGCATCGTGATCAGTGTTACCCTTTTCTATAATTCTTCCCCATCTATGCATTTTTATAAATATACATTGAGATATAAATATACACTGAGCTATTCTAATGGTTTTCTATGACTGGGTAGAATTGTGAGAATTTTTTTTTGCTTATTCAAAATCTGTATTTAAGGCTTTTGCAATAAGCATGTCTCCCAAGTGCAAAAGGTCATCCTCAAGTCAGCCTATGCTAGAAAGCTGTAGTGCTCAAAATCCAGCTCATCCCCAAAATGCTTCCTTCTACCCATGAATAATTTGAACATATGCAAGAATATGAAAACATTCATTACATTTAGTCATTTTACTTAAAACAATCTCATGGACACCCATTACGGCCATGAAAAAAAATGTATTCCATTTATCTTGTTTATGGAAACCCTTAAACTATTAAGTCACTGTTGGCTATTAAGTCACTGTTGAGTTTTCTCTTTTTCTCTTTCATCCAACCCTTCCTATGTGACATAGCTTGTAGTTCACCTTTGATAAATAAATAATAGTTTGATGATGATAATCTTCAAATAGCATTGACTCCAATACCTTTTCTCAGTATGTTTTGACACTCCAGCAAATAGAAGGCCTTACTTGTGGAGTCTTTTGTGTGATTAAACTTCGCTTATGACATCCGTTTTACTACCTCATTTGGCAAAACAGGTAGCACTTTGAACCATAACTTCTAAGAGATTTAGCAAGGTCTGATGATACCAAATAGAATTTTAACAAAAAACACAAAGTAGCTTTTTGTTGGAGGCTCACTCCTATAATCCTAGCCATCCAGGTGGCTGAAATCTAAGGAACATGATTCAAAGAAAGCTTGGGCAGGAAAGTCCATGAGACTCTCTTATCTCCAATTAACCATCAAAAAGGTGGAAGTGGGTCTGTGATCCAAGTAGTACAGCACTAGCCTTGATTGAAAAAGCTCAGGGATAGCATTCAGGCCCTGAGTTCAAGCTCCAGAACCAGCATAAAATAAAAGCAAAAAAATAAGAGATAATGATCCATCTATATTTTTAACCTAATAGTGATGGCATATATACAGGGGAGAGAGGGACAAGGTATACATGTGTATTAATTTAATAGCAGTTTTCTCAAAAATGTCATGATCTCACAGTGGTTAAAGATACATAGCTTTGAAGTCTCGTGTCAGATTGTAGTTCCAGTGGGTTTTTTTTTCTGTCTGTGGAAATTTCAGGTTAGATATTTTCTGGTTTGCAAACATTTGTAGAATCCTTTGCAAACAACTATAGAAGAACTATATTAAATCATGTTAGTGTGTTTTGAAGCAGTGTCTAGCACATAGTAAATATTCATAGACATTTCTTATTCCACAATCATGGCAACTTCAAGGTCTAGTTAAGTTTACCCTCATCCATCCTTGCAGACTTGCTTCTGTTCATGGGGGTCTTATGGTTAACTAAAGCCCTTTTTACTCCTCAGGAACTGATCAGCAAGCTTATTTGATTCATTTAATGAATCTAATCTCTCTATTCAAAGCTTACCACCACCTTCCTGTGGCAGTCTTAGGTCTAGATAGGACCAGGGAATCCAACATGCAGGAGGCAGGTAGATCGAACAAAGCATAGCAGGGTTTGGAACAAAAGGGTGTTCAGTTGGGTGCCAAAGGTAATGGCAGAATCTCTGCAACTTGCTTTTATGAGACTCAAGGTGTGCAATGCCCATGTGCTACATGAACACATGCCATTAATACTAATGGCTACAATTACCAGCCACCTGTTGCAACACATCGTGTTTAGTGTTTTCCTGGCATTGCAGTTGTCTCCCGCACCTGCAAACTGAACACAGTACATGGAAAATTCCAGGAGTAAATAATTCACGTGTTTCAAATTGCAAGCCATTCTGAGTAGCACGATGAAATCTCCTGCCATCCCTTGCCACTCATGTGAATGAAGTATCACTTTGCTCAGGACCCCATACGTTATACACCACCTACCTGTAGTCACTGCATGGGTCTCTCAGGTATGCCGTACTATATACACCATCCATCTGTTGTTAGCTTGTAGACATCTCAGCTATCAGACTTTCTGATGTAG